ATTTCTAAATCGATCTTGTTCATCCCTCAGTTTACCCTTCAGAGGATTGTATCGGAATTAGACTTCCACCCGGAACTCATTGAAGTTGGTACAGATTCAGAATGAAGGTACTTGTAATTTTTGAATGGCTGACATGCTTTTTTGATTATTTTAGCATGAAATACGGTAAGGTGTGTGGGTCTGAATGCATTTTAACTAGGTGACGGCTCGCAATATCTAGTAAGTTTTGTTTGTTTGGTAGCTACTTTATTCTTCGGACTTTTCGTCAGCATTTCTTTAATGAAAAACGAGGGTTCAATCAGCCTTCACAGCCGTTTGTAACGAGTTCTAACACTAACCTACACACACATCAACGGAAGTGGGACAGGTACTTTTATTCTTAATATTGTCCAGTGTGCTTTTCGTGTGCACCGCAACACCAGATTGAAGTGATCATTCTGTTCCGGCTGATAAAATCGTTCGTGTAAAGCACGATCAGCTCATCCCGTCAAATTGAATAATTACACCCAGATTGAATTCTTACGTTGAAATTGTGAAAAGTTCAGCAGCCTCGATGAGATTCGAACCAAAGCAATAAGAGTGGAAACGGCGCCTATGCTTGGGTTCGTATCCCACTGAGGCTACTGAATGTTTCACAGTCTCAACGTATATTTGAATATCAACAGAATGTAACTGGTATGATGGTTCGCAGAAAACATTTCTCGACTTTCACCATTTGTTCGCTTGTTTGACTGGAGCCTTCTAGTGCAACACAATAAGAATTCACAGCGGGGTTGGGTGTAAAAACGAGGATGGGGGGACTGTGCAATGAACATTGGAAAAGCTTACAAAAAGCAATGAGATGCGGTCAATACCCAACGCGGATGAATCAGTGTCCCACCGCACAAGTGAAATTTCCGGCCTCCATCGCCTTCCGGGATCACTATGGTCGGTGGGATGAAATAGTCCATGTCGAATAGCGTATCCGCGGACAAATTGCGAGTTTTTGCGTGTTCCATTCGCTCACTGGCCCGCTGACGTGCGACCTGCTCCGCGGTTTGATGAAAGATGAACGACGTAAGCCAGGGCCATTCGCCGTGTTTCGAAATGGTCCCACCGACAATACGTTTGGCAATTTTGAGTGCGGGGTTAGACACGGTGCGCAGTTGTGTAAACATTTTGATCCACTGGTTGTCGAACACGTTACGTCCGCAGTGTACCGGGATTTTATCTGGAACAAGGTCATGGGAATTAGGAGAGAGATAAGGAAAATATTTTCCTCTACGATTTCCAGTGTCATGTCACATATTAAACTAGGCTGGGATGGTTTTTCTCGTTCTTTCAGACTGGTGAACTACAATGCAGACATATTAAAAGCAGTACGTTCGGGAATCCACATTCGTACATCACCCCATATTCACTCAATTTTATGCACAAGGCCATTTTTTGAAATAATTTTTTCATCCGTATAGCCACTCTGTTGTGAATCATCCACCTTTATTTTTGGTAAATTTGGCAAAAAACTCCAAACCGTGAACTAATTTCTATGTATGAATTCATTTTAAGAATGTGACCATCAGCCCTCCATTGTCTATTCTGATTGTAAAAATGAAAGTATATTAGACCTGGATGATAAATCACTGAAAACCAATTGGGGTTTACTGCCTCGTCGTCTAAAATGTAGTCGCATTTATCAAAAGCTGATAGAGATTTTCCAATAACTGTACAGCTATGGTTTTCGTAGGCATCATTCTAAGACATAGATGTAAGCACTTGATCTTTTTGTCTAAACAGGGAATGCGCACATGACAATTTAATATAAGAAATAAATGATTAACTTTTATCTTATATTACCAGTAAGATGAAAGTTACTCGTCCAGCTTAACTGATGTCATTTTTCATACCAAACCTGTTTCGTAAAACTGCATAAACTTTAATTAATCGCTCTAATTTATTGATCTTTACCGAAACAAATTACATGCCACCACAATTTGCTTTTGTACGCAACAACATTTTGGCCTATGTTAACACGCTGTTTCTCCAAGATAAACGAAGGGGATTACGTAACTTAACCGAACAATGTGGATGAATTCCTGCAAAAACCAAAGCGACCAAAGTGACCAGCTGATAGTGACAGAAATACGAGGAGTAGATACTTACGTTCATCGTGCTTTCAACAAACGTCTCATGCTTTAATGGAAGTTACAACCAGGCGCGGCTGAATCAATTGAGTATTTTCATCACTTTAGAGACATGGTTTTGAAATACCACCGGGGTGGGATTCAAACCGAAGGCTTTGCCATGCATGACCTATTTTGCCTGAAAGATTATTGTGTTTGGAAGGGCAAAAGTTACCGCGTTTTGCTGTTTTTATCGTCTGGATGGTTATTTATCCATCAGCAACCATTCTGTGGTGGCACCAATGTTCTTGTCATGCAAAATCCTGGTACGGATTATCGGGTCACAACTAACCAGCAACAGATTACAATGAGCGTAACAGTAGACAGATGGTTGCACATGTTTCCATTTCTTAAATGACAGTCGGTCATTTCACGCACACTGACCGGGGTTGCTGAGCAAATGAGGGGAGCTTCATTATAGAAGGACAACAAACAGTTACGACTAGGACGGTGAGCAATACGTTCGAGGAAGATGAGGTAAATTTTCTGAAGCTATAAAGGAACTCTCGTTGGTAGAAGAAGGTGTAAAAATACAGACTGTACCCGTGAATAGTCACACTGTTGGAACAAGCAATAAGGACTGTTGGAACCGTGGCCATCAACTGTAGTGGTCTTCCCGTATACGCGAATGTTTCTTTGACGAGGGTGAACAGCAATGCATGCGTTTCGGGTATTTCGTGCTTAAATAATTTTTTATTGTTTTACACTTCTCAGTGATGTTCATCTCGAAAACTCGTAAAACTCGCAAGAAATCTGTTACTCATAGAATCCTCATGTTAAAGAAACTAGTTACCGATATAAAAATAACAACATAAAAATCAATGGTGTATTTCTTCGATCAATGCAACGGACAATCGAAGTGAAAACTAATAACTCATGGAACTGCTTTTGCAGTTCCATTTGGCTGATTACCATTTCGGGACTCCCTCCTAAGTAAACTGGGATAACTTGCAGTTGAATTGTAAACATATCTGTTCAGTTAAAATTAAGCTTCGACGAGTATTACGGCATGTTAAGCAATTTCACTATACCATATTCACCTTTGGTAATTTATTCTGGTGTGTCCCATGGTTAGTTTTATTATTACAAACCGGTCCTCTTGAATCCCGCTTGTTGGGGTCAGTTAATTACCGATCACATCCATATTCGCGTCTTGAATTGCAAAACGGATTTGAGACTAGGCGATACTGCGACTGCTTCACACATGGAAGACGAATAGGTTAAACGGGAAATATGAAATCATTCGCCAGGAAGTAGAACATCTTAATGTACTTTTCCTCAATCCAACGAACACCACCTGATGTTTTCTTTATTTTAGATGCAACAGTTTGAAGTGATCATCAGTTACGTCACCTCTGTAAACTTTATAGTTCCATAGGATAGAATATACAGAAGGAAAGATAATGAAACCTGTATCCAACAAACGGACATGAGGATGCACGCGTCATGTTCATATTCTGTTGGACTACGCACAACACAAGGGGTCACTTCCGGCCATTGCTACTCTTTTTACAAAGGTAATTTCGCAGCCGCATCTCTTCAAACGTAATCAGTGTTATGCTTAAGTTACGGAAGAGAACAATTTCATTTCAGTTTGCCGGTTCATTGCACAACCTTTCATGGTTTCGTACTCTTCTCATAGTATAAACATAATTCTTTGAGTCATTTATTGGGAAATCCGGTTTAATGGTGAAACGTACGATACGATTTATCGGTGAACGTAATAAAAGATATGGATTTTAGATAGAAATAGGAAACAGACTATTAACATGTTCTTCCCATAAAACAGGTGTGTGATTGGTTAAGAGACTATACAGTGCTTTATTTTGCTCATAAAGGAATTATTTTGAAGTAATTTGACGTGAAAGGAAACAAAACTATTGATCGATCACAGTGCACTTACCGCAGGACGCAAAAGGTTACAATGACTCAAGATGTAGACCTGCTCTGAGACGAAACTATCCCCGGTGAGAAAGTATCTTTTGGAACAGCTGTGTCGCCGATGGTTTACCGAGGGGAGGAAAGTGGACGAACGAGACCAGTTCAGCAAACTTTTAGCCAATGGGGTATATGCCGTGAGGGGAAAGTTCGGCAGACTTCTCCGCATCTCTGTCATGCATCACCATGATTTTACTGTTGGTTTGATCATAACTTATCCAAAATACACGTTTATGTTTGGAAGCAACTTGTATCCTCTGTACCTTTGTAGACTCATTATGAAAGCTAGATAATAATAAAAATAATGATATGGATTTTGATTTCATATTTTTTCATTAACTATACAAATGTAGAGTCACTTTTTCAAAAGTAGCTATCGGCCATACAAAGACTGTCTGGGGCAATACAGTACTGTGGAAGATTGGTCGCAGTGGCGTGGTTCGAATTCGAGACATTCAGATCACCATTTCTATTACGGTAACCACCTAAAGAAAAACTCAACACAGATTAAAACACGAACTAATCCGGTTTGATACGGGTAAAATAATCGTGATTCTCGCATTCCGATTCCTGAACTGGTCACTTTGCTAATCACCAATAAGATACTTTTCATAAGAAACGAGATTATTCGCAAAATATTATGTTCTCCATAAAACGGAAAATTTCGTGAACAAGTGCCCCTTTTTCGTGTATTGATTAGGAATTGGCTGATGTGAAAAGAACATTAATTTCCATCCAATAACTGTTCGCATCAAAATCAGGGATAGGCAAATATGGTGATAAAAACTAAAAGGAACAATTCTCCAATTGTAATCAAATCATCAAATTATATTTCCCTTTCAGTAGATCAAATTCAAATTTTATTCTGATATTAGTAGTCAAACCACATCAGCCAGATGACCAAAATTTTCACATTCCTTGGGTTGTACTTGAACATATCCAAGTCAGAAATGTCCAAACTATCGTTGCATAAACGTGGTTCTGAAACAATCACGGTTTCAGTCCTCAGTTAGAGTCACTGGGTGTGTCCGTGTATTTGATGCTGTTTCGAATCATTACGATATTCCCTTTGATTGACATGTTTCATCAAACTATAGATATGTGCATAATAAACTATATGTCAAGTATGCACCAAACTCATTATCTGATAAGGTAACATCACCCAGTCACAACAGCGGACAATTAGTTGTTCTCGTATCTAACTGTTTCCTTCACTGAACTTCAAAATAAAGGGAATGCATGAAAACATTCGCGTCACGCGATACTAAATGAGGAAAGACCCGGTAGAGCAGAAACTATTCTCTCCCCTAATGCCTCATTATCATCAGCATCATCAGTAGAAGCAGCTGTATAAGCGCCATCATCATCATTGTCAGCCCTGCTGGTGAGAATTGAATATGACAATCTGGTACATTCGGTGTCTACTGAATACATTCTTTAGCCGATCGAAATATTGTCTGCCCAAACCACCACATGGCGTATGCGCTGGAACCCCGCCCGATTGTCGCTGTTGATCAGAGTTTAATACTGTCACAAACAACGAGAGGGAATAATTGCTAGCATAGCCCTGCTAGATTTTGTGTCCATGATAGGTTCACTGCATCCAGAATGGTGTGCACCATATTATGTATATATGATGTATATGTACGTATAGGATATATGTATATGTATATCTGATCAAACCAACATATGTGTAAACACAGTCACCGTTGGTGGGAGAGATTCCCAGGGTAGGGTCATTGTCACATTTGACCCTTACATGTCGGCATAAGACATGAGGGCTATAAAAAGTCGGTTACAGTTGCTCCGGACAGATTGAGTAGTTATGTTTTGTTGATCCTATAGATGGTACGACATACCTTTTTCGGTTGAAACAGAGTAGCATCAACCGTAGGTGTTTGGAGTTTACTGAGGCTAAATGGTTAGCTTGTTTTCTGATCTCCCGTTGGTTTCCCGGTGTCATACACGCCCGGATGAATTCGCAACTGATTTGCCGGGCGGTAATTCCATTTCTTGTTTGAGACATTCAGTAATTTTCCGACTTCAAACTTGCGAATTTTATGGTTTCTTAAATCTAGGGCATCGCCTGATAAAACTGTGTAGTTATAATCCC